TTATGGATTTGACGGGTTTGATTTAAGTGTGCACATGTTCAAGAAAATTAAAGTAATAACAAAAAAAAAAATACAATCAAATTTATGTCAATGCATATCTTGAATGCATCATGACCAAGTTCTTTTTTTAAAAAAAATCATTGTGGCATATTTTTTTTTATAAAAAACCTTTATTTTTCTCTCCACAAGGAAATAAAAAAATTGCATATTTTAGCATTTTTTATTCTTTTATCTAGCATTATCACAAAAAATAAAAAATATATAAAAAAATTGTTTGTATATACATACAAGAGCTTGATAACAAGTTTATTAAATTCTTTAGGACGTGATATAAATTCAAAAGCTCATCAAGCTGTATATCTAATAAACTCAAAAACTCAGCTCTAGTTTTCTAAAAAAAATATATTTTTATTTATTTTCAATATTTAAAGCAAGTAGGACCTTATAAATAAAATTCAAGAACTCTAGGCATTAACTTAGAAATTAAAAAAATAAAATTTTAATGTGGTATTTTTTGATAAGTCTATTTGTATAAGATTGATATTGAGATTTTCATATATAAAATTTTATTTTAAAAAAGATCAATATCAATATTAGATTTTTTTTTCTAATAATTAAATTGACGAGTATTTTATTTACAGGAACCAACAACAAATATTTTTTAAATAATTATAAAAAAATTTAAAATAAAAAAATTAGAATAATTAAGAACAACCAAAAAGATAAATTTAAGAAAAAGTACATAATAAATATAATATTTCATAAGATAAATTGTTTTTAGGTATGGTCAGTTTTTAGAATGGACTAAAATGAGAAACCCGGGGAAATGAAAAACTACTATAATAAATTATAAGGATATTGTAGTAATTCTAGAGACTTTTCCCGCGCTATAAATAGCCATTTGGCTTCCCAGGTTCATTTCACAGCAACAAAAGTGAAGGGGAAAGGGATTTTCAAGCCTTTCTTCAAATTCTCGCTATATTTATGCATTTTTCATGTTTTGACCAAACACGTCCTCTTCTTTTTTTGGTCAATGACACAGTTTTTTCAATAAAATCTTAAGGAAATTAAAATAAATATTTGCAAGAATTATAGTAATTTCAATTCATAAGAAAAAAATTACTCCTTTAGTTAAAATCTATTTTCCTTTTTTATTTTAACCAAAAAGTGTCTTTTTATTAGGAGTATTTTTTTTATAATAACTTATCATGATTTGAAAAGAAATTTTCAATAAAAAGCATAAAAAAAATCATGACTTTATAGTTTTTATATGAATGCATGGAAAAATAAAAGAGTAATTAATTCATGAAAACTGTATAAAAATTCTCAATAAAAAATAATATATATATTATTCTTATTGGATATTAATGTGAAATGTTTTTAATAAAAAATATATATTAAATCTATGTATAATTATTTATAAAATAATTAAAAATATTACCATAAAAATATTTAATCTTATTAAAAAAAAGACTTGTCATTATTTATCTAACGAGGATTTATATATATATATATATATATACACACTTGTTTTTTTAATTTCTAAATGATGATCAAATATCATGCTGTCTGCTAATCTTTTTAAATAAAATGGATGATATATAATCCTCGTAGGTATATAATATGTTGTTTATTGACATATATTCTATTTATTTTCGGTGATTGCAAAAATAAAATTTAAGTTTTGAAATCTTAAAAATTCAAATTTTAATTTATTTTCATTTAAAAATATCATAGAAATCTTGATAACTCTATTTCCAATCCTAAAACACTCTCTAAACATTGTAAAAAAAAAAATCATATAAAATAAACTTTATGGACCCGAATCTAAGTTTTTTAGCATGATGAGAGGAAAAAAAAAACCACCTCTATTGAATTCCATTCTCCTAGATAAATTCATTAATTTTTGTTATTAGAATTTGCTATTTAACTAACATTTTATCCGAATTTACTATTGTGGCATTGACATATAAATCTTTCAAATAATATTTTATCCCAATTTATTATTTAAGTCTCGACATTTCTTTTCCAAAAAGTATCCTTTCACAATTTGCCATTTAGCTAAACAATAATGCTTACCTTTTTCTTTAAGGATTTTTTCCAATGATTTCTTACTTTTCATCTCCTCGTAGTGGTGAATAATATTTTTTTTAACCGTCAAGATGTGTGAGTTTAAATTGAGCTTTGTGTATAGGCTCAATTATTCTTTAAAAAATTAAATATCTTATGAAATGAAGAACTATTTAATGCTTAAGTAAGGAAGTATACAAAAAAAAAAAATATAAAAACAAATTATTGAAGAGTGAAATGTTGAGTCTGGAAAAGCTATAACCTCTTTTGTTTATCTAGTTACCTAATGTATATATAAATGATAGACACATCAACTCATCTTGGGAAGTTGCATGAAAATTAATTAGTGAAAATATCAATGGCTCGTCATTGTTTATAATGTCTAGCTCTATTATTAGTAAGTGATTAGTGAATATAAATGATATATTAATTAAAAATAACTATTGGCTAATAAAATAGGTGTTTGATTTGATAAGAATTATATGTATGATACACTATAATCATCATCTCAAAATGTAGTGATACTCTTGTATACAAGAATACAATTGTAAAGAAAATAATATGTTAGTAAAATATATAAACTTTTGTATGTATGGGTGGTGTATGACATTGTATTCTAACAACTTAGAACTCAAAAAAATATTTGCATTGAACAATCTACTAAAAGGGTAAGGTTATAGCCATTTGTGATACGACTTGAACATTATGGGTGTTGTCAAGGCAACAGGTGTATTTTGGATTGAAAATAGAGTTATTAAAATTTAAATGATGTTCTTTAGATGTTTTTAAGTAACAACAAGTTGAATTTTTTATTTTTTTATTTTTTAAATATGAATGCCCCATAACAACTTTATATAGGTTGTTTAATAGTGTGGTAATGATTGTTTTTTAAAGTATTTTTTATTAAAAAAATATATTAAAATAATATTTTTTTAAAAAAATTATTTTAAACATTAGAATATAAAAACAATTCAGAAATAATTTTTTTCTTTTTAAAAAAGCATGGTTTCAACCACATTTCTAATTGGTGTCTTAAATTACCAGTTGCTGGACACCAAACATCGTTAACCTCCAAGACTGCTTTTTTCAAACTTAAGATCGTCAGTGGAGAGGCCCATTTGGGCTTTTCGGGCCTCTAAAGATTAAAGTCCACAATCCACTCAGACAAAGGGATGGCTATAAATAGCGATGTACATCTCTTGTGATCCTTATGGGGAGCTCTAGGGTTTTTACTCTTTCCTCTCCTGAAAATCTAACGAACTTTCATAGGGTTTTTCTCTTCTAATAAGCGCCGCCCTTAAGATCGCCTTCCTTATAAAATGGAAGCGTTTTGAGTCATAGCTGCGCAATATTGAACTTTCTTTTAGGAGTTTTTCAAAAGGGTTCTCCTGTTGAGTTTCTCCTTATACGCCCACCTGGATTTTCTTCATGAGGCATTTTTTTTCTTTGGATCTGTTTGCTTTTCCTGTTTTTTGAACTGCTAGGTATGTATTGGTGTTAAAACCTTTTCTTATCTATGCTTGTTTCAATCAATGGGAGCTACAGGTCCTCTGATATTCATGTAAATGGTTCATTATTTGGTGGGAAACAATTAAACCCTTCTTTATTTTTTGTTCATCGTTACTTTTTTGAGTTGGGTTGATTTTTGTTTAGCTCAATTGGGCTAAAAGATTCATGAAGTTGGCAAAGATGATGAATCAATTAGATGTGTGAATGGAGCTTAATCTATATTGAACTCAACTTTTTGAGGCATATTTAATCGTCTGATTTGCTTGTGTTTTAGAAATTACTTTTCTTGCTAATACGTAATCTGGCTATAAAATTTTTTGGAGGTCGATGATGATAAATTCGAAGGCTTGTTTCTCAAAACATTCGCAGTGGCCGCCTAAGTGCTTTCGCCTACGCCAGGCTTGAGAGCGTATGCTGCTTTTATCCTTCCTTGGATGTCTGAGATCTCAATTCAATCTTATTATAGTGCCATATCGGCCATATGATTAAAGGAAACATTTTCCTTTGTTCTGCGCGTTTTGCGCGTGTTTAAGTGAATTTGTTAAATGTTTTCACAAATGTTGCAACAAATCCAAAGGCTTGTTTCTCAAAACATTCTGGGGTTGAAATTAATCGTTGTATTTTGTCCAACTTTCTTGACGATGAAGACAAATCCAAAGGCTTGTTTCTCAGAACATTTGCCACGACTGCCTAAGAATTTTCGCCTTCGTCGTGCTTAGAGAGCTCGTGCTGCTTTTATCCTTGAATGCCTGAAACCTGAATCCTCCTTTTGCATTTCTCTATATTTTGTGTTTATTGAAACCGTTTTCATTCATTCACAATAATCTGTGATTTATGGTCTTAATGCGGCTTTGATTATTAGTTTGCACCTAAAATGAATTGCTGCAATTCTTCTGTAATTTTATTATTCTTTAATTTGATGCATGCCCGATGTTGCTTGTGTGATCTCAATATACGGCTTTTTGTAAAGCTTTGCACAAATGGTGTCCGCCTCCTTTCTGATACTTGAAACTAAAAATTTTTAAATTAATTTTCTCTTTCAAAATACAAAAAAAAATTATTTTTATATATACAGCTAGATCCTAAAAAGTTTTTTAAGCATATTTTCAAAAGAAAAGGAAGCATCTTTCTCATGTTTTAAAAAGCACAATGTATATATATATATATATATATACATATATATTCGTTACTTTTTTGAGTTGGGTTGATTTTTGTTTAGCTCAATTGGGCTAAAAGATTCATGAAGTTGGCAAAGATGATGAATCAATTAGATGTGTGAATGGAGCTTAATCTATATTGAACTCAACTTTTTGAGGCATATTTAATCGTCTGATTTGCTTGTGTTTTAGAAATTACTTTTCTTGCTAATACGTAATCTGGCTATAAAATTTTTTGGAGGTCGATGATGATAAATTCGAAGGCTTGTTTCTCAAAACATTCGCAGTGGCCGCCTAAGTGCTTTCGCCTACGCCAGGCTTGAGAGCGTATGCTGCTTTTATCCTTCCTTGGATGTCTGAGATCTCAATTCAATCTTATTATAGTGCCATATCGGCCATGTGATTAAAGGAAACATTTTCCTTTGTTCTGCGCGTTTTGCGCGTGTTTAAGTGAATTTGTTAAATGTTTTCACAAATGTTGCAACAAATCCAAAGGCTTGTTTCTCAAAACATTCTGGGGTTGAAATTAATCGTTGTATTTTCTTTAAATCTCAGTTCATGATGACAAATCCAAAGGCTTGTTTCTCAAAACATTCGTAGTGGCCGCCTAAGAGCTTTCGACTTTGTCGGGCTTGAGAGCTTGTGCTGCATTATCCTTACAGTTTCTGTTTATAATGGCACTTGTAATTTGCGGCTGACTACTAAAAATAGTAGTGTGAGAAGTAGATTTTAAGTGGTAGCTCGGGAATCCGACATTTCTCAGTTGTATCTCTCATCGTCACCTGTTACGCGTGTTTGGTGCGAGATGCTTATCACCCAAAAGAGGTGTGCTGCAGCGAAAACGGCAAGCACTAGAGAGCTTTTGATGAGAATATTACTCCTGTCGGGATCGCTATTTGGTCAACCACAATTCACGATAATAAAATCAGTACTAGTGAGAATGATATACATGGAAAAAACAGTTCCAAAAGCTGTTGCCATAATTTAATGTAAATCCTAGCAATCCCACTCATCTTTCAAGTGTTTTCTTTCTATCCGTAAATAAAAAAGGCAATTGATGTTTTCTTCCAAAATGGAAACTTGGTTGGAAACAACTGATGAAGGAAACCAGATCACTTCCCAAAATGAAAACCATATCTTCTGTGATGATCCCATGTTTGTTACAAGCACAGCAAGCCATGATTCTCTACCGATACTCTTAACAACTCGATTTGCACCAGGAGATCGATCTCAGGTTCAAATCCTGTGAGGGTTGGGGTGCGGATTCATCTGCCAGCCTATCGGACCTTCTATTGAATAAAAGAAAAACCCAAAACTAGATTAAACATAAAACAATAACCAAAATAATCAGAACCCATTATGATCTCATAGAGCATTCCTGACCTATCCCAGATCCCTCCCTTCTCAAGGACTCCCTGCCCCTTCAAGCACAGAAAGGCCAACTGCCTCAAACCTCTTGCCACAATTTCTTGAGGCGGAATGCTCTATTCATCTCCATCAAATTCACCATCATTCATTGTCCTTATAACTTACTTTTCCTCCGCTTCACCACTGCAAAGCAATTGCTTGTCCTTTGAACTGTTTTCTGACTATTATCATAGTTTTCTTTACGTTATCAATTGTGGACACAAATTAAGGGCAGTGACTTCGATAAATGATAATACCAGCTGGAACAGAAGGGTTTCAACAGCCTGCAGCAATGGTCAATCTCCTATAAACTTCAAATCATTTCCCATGATGAGATTGGGACCAAGACAGTTCATTTGAGTGGTTTCTCCGATTTCCATTCCCTCAATATAAAATCAAGAATGGCAAGGCAGCATGTTTGCTTGTATTCTCCCAAAGCCCCGCAGATACCCAACGTTTCACACCACACACCATACCTATCTAGGAAAATAGTAATGGAAACCAAGAATGTTCTCTTGCATTGCAGTAAGCACATAAAAAAGAAAAAGTAAAAGGAAAATCCTACCGGTACCATTTTGACAACAAATATATACAGGAAAACAGGAACGGGGTAAGCAATGAGAAACGAAGCTAGCATAAGAAAATACTACCAGCCGAGTACTCTCTCATCTCATTCAGTGTTTCTACCCATAGTCAAAAGGCAAATAATAATTCCTTCACGAAAGCAAACTTATTTGAAAAAAGAAAAAGTCATGATCAATTTCCATTGTAGGAAAACAAAAAGGAAATCAATTATTCTAGCTTAAACAAAAAAAGCAATAAAATCCCAATTTTACTACAAGCATTGCAAACCATAAATAAAAGGAAAGGCTATTACTTTTAAGAAATAGATTCAATTTTAATTAATAACGTTCAAGACCTATTAGGCTATCACGACGATCGCATAGCACCAAAATAAATAAATAAAAAACTTTTAACATTAGTAGTAGTAGCAAGAATAATCAAAATCAATCAAGGAACCCAGTTTGACGCCAAATTGCGTTCCTAACCTGTCTCAGATCCCTTCCTTTCAACGTCCTCCCCACCCCTTCAAGCACCGAAAACGTTGTCTTGGGCGACTGCCTCGATCCTCGTGCCACAATCTCATGAGGTGGCAGCATCTCTTCATCTCCATCAAACTCACCATCATCGTCCTCCTTAAACCTGCTACTCCTCTCTTTCGCCATCGCCATCGACAACACCGGCACATTCATCGGGGCCGATTGGTTCATTTTTCTTATCGGCACCGACTGCGACCCGTATTCCGCCACGTGAGGGGACCTCGGAATTAATGGGATTGCTCTAGACGAGGATGAAGAAGGTGATGGTGGCAGTGAAGGCTTGCGGTAAAGAACCGTGTTGTGGTTGTATTCTGGTAACGCAGCGAGAATCCCCGAGTTCTGAGGGAAAGCTGTGTGGCGGTTAAATTTATTATGGTGGTTGCTGTTGTTGCTGGCGGTTGTTGGAGAGGACGAGGAGGAATTGCTTTGGGTTTGATTGGTGGAATAGTTGGTCAAGAAAATATCATCCTCGTTAAGCTCATCTGCGTTTCCGTTACTGTCACCATTGCCGTCGGTCACGTAAGAGGTGGAAGAGGAGGGGATGCCGAGGAAACGGTAACGGGAGGTAGAGTCCATCTGATTTGTTTTTATAAATGGTGAATTAATGATGAGTGGAGGAGCTAGAAAAAGGAATTTATGTGCGTTTCTGTCTGAATTTATAAATATAAATATTTTGTTTTAAAAAACAGAGAGTAAGAAGGAGGAGCAAGAATTATTAGGGGGGGGACTGTTGTGGCGGCGGGGGGTGTCATCTCCTGTAGCTTAAATTGCCATTGCATTGCTTTGCATGGATACTTCGAATCAGACTTTGGCTTTAATTTTATTTATTTATTTTTTTCGATTAATCTCGACGATCCACTGAATATCCTGTAAATCCAGTAAATATATAAGACACCGCGGAGATGACAGACATGCATGCTAGAGCTTGAACCCAAGTGCAATAAAAAAAGACAAGTCCCTTCCCCCACTGGACTAAACCCTATTTTACATTTTAATTTTAATTTTAATCTTCCTCTCCAACATGTGTTTAATGATATAAGTATATTTGAGAGTACGGTTGAATAGTAATTTCCTTGCTACAAAAGTAAATCACTTTTGTTCATGGTAAAAAAATTAAATATATTTTTACCCAAATCAATAAAACACAACTACTGATAATAAAGTACTGCTGGGCTCATAAAAAAGCGCGCCGCCGTGTTCAGTTCTCCCCAAGCTTCCTTTTGTAGTATAAATATAAGTAAATAAGGGCCATGTTTTCCACGGTAAATTACAAAATCTACCGCTTCCCTTATCCCCTTCTCTGTGCCTGCTTTTTAGCTCAATCAGTTAAGCATATACTCTGACCAGTTGACAGTTTATTAAATTCTGTTTGCTTGTTTGTTGGCACTCATCAAATGGAGCAACAGCAGCAACTGCAGAGAAGTACATCAGGGAGTCCAAGCCCTAGATCTCCGTCATCGCAGCCTTATTTATCGGTTTCGGTGACTGATCCTGTAAAATTAGGGAATGGCGTCCAGGGTTACATCTCTTATCGCGTTATCACCAAGGTAATGTTTTCATTCTTGATGGAGGTTTTAGGGTTTTAATTCTTGATTGTGATTAAATGTTTTGGCGTGTAGACAAATTTACCGGAATACCAAGGGCACGAAAAGATTGTGATTCGGCGGTACAGCGATTTTGATTGGTTGCGTGATCGGCTTTTCCACAATTACAAAGGTGTATTTATCCCCCCTCTTCCAGAAAAGAGCGCTGTAGGTAAGGGATTGGTCTAATTTGCAGCAATGAGTTGGTTGGAGCAGTGAGTTCGATTTTATTTTGACTAATTATGATTGGTGGAAATGCAGAAAAGTTTCGGTTTAGTGCTGAATTTATTGAGATGAGGAGACAAGGGCTGGATATATTTGTCAATAGGATAGCTTCGCATCAAGAGCTTCAGCATAGTGAGGATTTAAGGACCTTTTTGCAGGCTGATGAGGAGGTGAATCATCTATATATGTAGTGTATTAACAATTTGCATTCTTTTAGTGCTGTACGTGAAAGTTTATTATCGCTTCACTAATTTTCTTGTTAATCCAAAGGATAAATTCACGAACTACTTGTCATAAACTATCTATAATCTTGCAGCAAGCACGCAGTGAAAGTCAAATTTTTCTCTTTATCCGTGAAGAGGATCCTTTATTACTGTGAATTTTCTCCCTCGTTGAAAAACATTTCTGGACATTTTTAGTGAAAGAGAGGAATGAAAAACTGGATAAAAAGCACATGTAAAGTGGAATATGGCTGGTTGCCATGCTTTATCACTTTAGTTTCTGGAATATGTCTACCTAAGATCTGTCCAGAAAGTGCAGTGACTGGCTTTGGCAGGTCAATAATGGTTTTCATCAGGATTGAGCGTGAGACTGCATATTTGATCTTTTATTGTTTTCACCAGTATCATTCCCAGGAGCAAACACTGTGGCCACATATAGCATTTCCACTCAAATTATCTCAAGAGATGCAATACTAGCAAGCAATCTGTTTTGTCACGGGATAATTATTTTTAAAACACGGAGAGATAGTTTTATAAATACAATTGATGACAGTTCATTCTCGAGCAATTACTTACATGACTTGGACCTATGAATTCCTTTCTGAATCATTAATAAGGAAGAAGTAACTGTATTGATTCATATAATGTCATTCTTGGCATGTGACATAGAAGATTAACATGTATATTGCCTATGATGATTGCTTGTGATTCCTGTTCTTTCCTGTATTTTTTATATCTAAGAGTACAACTGTGAGCTTTTAATTCAACATTAGTTTATCACCTTTTTTTCAGACCATGGAAAGATTAAGATCTCAAGAGACTGGTATATTTAAGAAGAAACCTGCTGATTTGATGCAAATTTTCAAGGTATGATGAGCTCTCTGTCTTTCTTTTCTGATTGACACGTGAAATTCAGCACTAATTTTCTGATGCTTGAACACTGTTATGCAACATCTGAACACTTCTTTCCTTATTATGAATTCTCCTATGCTATAAATTAATTATCAAATTAATCAGACGTTAGGTCCTTATCTGAAAGCATATCACTGAAGTTGGATGACTGCTTCTTAGTTCACTGGATACTTTGCTTCTGTTGTGTGGATACTTGAAGATGATGTTTAACAACTCCAGACGTACAATTTTGTGGTTGTGTTTAGTGTTTATTTTTAGATGACTTGTTTCAGGTGTCAGATCAAATTCTCTTTATTTAATTAAGAATCTTTTTCACTACCTGTTGGTTTAGTATATAGCGCACGAGACAGCAGTCAATTCCAACTGTACACTGCAATTTACAGAATAGGCCATTCTTGAAGATGATGTTTAACAACTCCAGGTGTACAATTTTGTGGTTGTGTTTTGTGTTTATTTTTCAAGACAGCAGTCAATTCCACCTGTACACTGCAATTTACAGAATAGGCCATTCAAACAAGCATGCTTTCAGTATGCTAATTATAGTATGATCTAGCAACTATGGTCCAAATGTTTTGCAGGACGCGCAATCTAAAGTGAGTGACATTGTTCTTGGGAAGGAAAAACCTGTTGAAGAATCGAATCTTGAAAATGAAAAGCTAAAACATTACATCTTTGAGCTTGAAAACCATTTGGCTGAAGCTCAGAAGCATGCATATCGTCTTGTAAAGCGACATAGAGGTAATGGTGGTTTATGTGGTTGTTACATGTAGCACATGATGAGTCTCATTTCACGGTACATATTCTTTAGACTCATTATGATGCTGTCAGTTCTTGTGATGTGATTGCCCGTGTTTTTTTTTTTTTGTCAGAACTGGGGCAATCGCTATCGGATTTCAGTAAGGCAGTAAAACTCCTTGGTGCTTGTGAAGGAGATGCCCTAGGAAAGGCGTTTTCTGAGCTTGGGACTAAATCAGAGGCATTATCAGTTAAGCTTCAGAAGGAGGTAGGCTTAAAGTCAATCGTGCCTTCTGCTACCAGATTCAGCATTTTGTTTTATGGCCCTCGTGTCTTTTTAGTCTTTTGGAGTTAACAAGCTTCTTTTTAAATCTTTGATGCATTTCTATGAACTTCCAGGCCCATCAACTCTTAATGAATTTTGAAGAACCATTGAAAGATTATGTCCGTGCTGTTCAATCAATTAAGGTGAGTTTGGCTTGCCTTCTTCCATCCTTTTCCAATCTCTTCACCCTACTTTTTTTTGTGTGTGAGTGCCCGCTCGCCCTCTACATTTGTCTTTGAAGCTGATCTTGTTTTTCTGTGTGTTCTGACAGGCTACCATAGCTGAGCGGGCCAATGTCTTCAGGCATCAGTGTGAACTGGCTGAAACAATGAAGTTGAAAGAGATAAATCTGTATGTCCTGGTTACTCCTTTCCTTCTTATAACTTTATTTTATCTGTGATTTCGATGGTACCATGTGAAATCGTCACGAACATTGCAAGATACAGAACCATGACTTTTCTCTTGATTCTTATTACTGTACTCTGATAGTTCTTTAGTGGTAATGACTTAGTTACATGCAACTTGAATTAAGTTTGTAAATACAAGTGTCATCCAGCAAAGAAGCACTGTTGAAAGTGTTTGATTAGGTTCCATGCTTATAAGTATCTCTCACAACATTTCAATCGGTAACAAGGCAGAATTTAGATTGTGTGATAAAGAGGCCTTTTAGCATCTAACGCAATGTATAGTTACATTTTATTTTCATACATGTGTAGTCGAAGTTTTGTCCACTGGGAATTCTAAAAACAAGCTCAGAAATCCTGAAACTTGAAAACCCCATTGTATCATTGAAGTTGTCACTTATTGATGGCCTTTTCCCATTGTTCCATGGTAGTCCGTTTTGGCTGCTGGCCCAGATGATCTCTGGAGTTTCTAATTCTTATCTATTGCTGCAGTGACAAACTTATGCTAACACGTTCTTATAAAATGGGAGAAGCGGAGCATGAGTACAATGAGGCAAGTTATCTTACGGTTAGCATATTTGCACGTCAGAAATCTTAGTTCTCTGACTTGAAATTTTGTTTTCATGCAGTTGAAAGCGGAAAATGAGGAAGCAACTAGAAGGTTTGAGACAATTGTGAGACTGATGAACGAAGAGATAGCGCGCTTTCAAGAACAGAAAACATTGGATATGGGGATTGCTTTCCATGAATTTGCAAAAGGACAGGTACGCTTGGCAAATAGCATTGCAGATGCTTGGAGAAGTCTTCTTCCTAAACTTGAAGCATGTTCCACACAATGAACACTGGAAAGTGAGCTCCTGTTCACTTTCTTCATTCTTAGGAATGCTGGGACCAAGCTCTTGCTTTGTAAAAACATTCCAGTTTTGCTATTCTGTTGTTGAACATCATACGGCACGTTTGCAAACTTCTGTTTCTTGTACAAATTTGAGATCAAGTTAAGAGCAAATTAGGAGCGAACACGAAAAATGATCATGTCTTAGCATCAGATCCTCTCTTCTCATTGAGATTTACACCGGTGTCCACACCTTCGAATCTAGCGTGTCTGGCATTGTGGTTTAAAAATAATAGGTTTAAGAAAAAACGTCTAAAGTTTGAAATTCAATTGTGTAGAGTTTAATGCCATTTTTTAAAGTTTGAAACAGAAGCTATTTAATAATCTCCGTTAGAGAATTCTAGCTACTCTGAGCAAATGACATTTTAAAATCAGATTTCCCAGCCCTTTTTTTGTTTTTTGAAGCTGTTAAATTAAAATTCTACCAGCAAAAAATCTTTCCAAAAATAATAACTGGCCCTAATTTGATTTTCAATTCAACCCAACCTAAAATTCTTTAACTGCTCAGAATCTCAAAACAAATTATTTTCAACGCATTAATTATAACTGCATAAGCCTATAAAAATAAATCCACGAATCGAGATAATTATTTTTTTATTAAAAAAAAACTACCTGCAATAAATCCTAAGGGGGGGCGGATAAAAACTATAAATTTACTTCAAGGCATAAAACCAGGACAGCTAACAACATATCCCAAAGAGAACTCCATGGTTTTAAAATCCACAGAAACATCTTATCTTACGATATGAAACAGATTGAAAGATCAACAATACAAACTCTTGACCAAAATTTATAACATTAAATGAAAATGACTATCACTGAACATTACAGCTCATTCTTCATCCTCTTCATCTCCATCCCCACCAGCAGCCTTCTTGGAAGCAGCCTTCTGGTTCTTTCGCTTAACTCTACCAGGGCGTCCACCACCAAAGGGGCTTGTGAGTGAGAAATCAATGTGCTTCTGCGAGTCAACTCTCACCATGAACGATGGAATATTGACCACCTGCCTCCCAACCCTGCAGGACCAAACAAGTATCAATCGAGAGGCAACACTTCAAAATATAGAATCTAAAAGAGTGAAATAACTACATTCGAGGTGAGACTTCTCAAGTTCTGAAATCACAAGATTTTACAGCCAAAAAGAGGGAAGAAAAGCACTCAAAGTTTAGACAAACAGGAAAAACAATCAATATCAGAGAGGCGAAACTTTAATTGCCAATGTATTACGTCTTTCATCCAGAATTTTAACTTGCATTGATTAACAGCTCAGTACGCATAAGAATTTATTGTGCATACCTAATGTGCCTCTGTTTGATGAGCACTCTGGCATGGTGGATGGACTTAGCCATACCAGCCTTGAAAACAAGAGTCTGGAGGCGGCGCTCGAGAAAGTTTTCCACGGTGAGGGCCAACACATAATCGAGCTTGTTCTGGCTCTCTTCCAAGAGCCCATACCTATTCATCCTCCTCAAAAGCGCCTCACCCTCAAAAATACGGCGTGAGTTCTTCTCATCAAGGGTCAGAAGCATTCTAGCAGCATTACGAATACGACTCAGTGCATACTGAACCCTCCAGAGTTCCCTCTTGGCACGGAGCCCATACTCTCCGACAAGCTTCAGCTCAGCATCCAAACGTTCCTTCTCATAGGGACGTCGTGGTTTCTTAAAAGTCTTCCCATCTACATGACCACGAAAAACAAATATATCACTTCTATTATTCAAAATCCAGACGCCAAACTCTATGGGTAAACAAAATACATTCAAATCATGAAATCAAGATTAAAACTCAAATCCCAGACGCTAAACTCTATTGAGGACAGAGAGATGGAAGCTGAATTTTCTGAATTCTAAATAAAATAATGTGCTTCAAATTTTCCATGTTCCACTTTATAGTTTACATAGAAAAGAAGATAGAAAATGAGCTAAAACTCAACAAAAAAAGAGTCCATGGATTGATTAGAATGCAAAATATGTTGAAATTATAGTGAAACAGTAAAAAAAAAAAGATTGAGAGGTAACTCACAGTTCCGATAAAAGGAGACGTGAACCATTCTGTTCGCTGTCGAACTCAGTTAGGGTCTAGGGAGGCGGTGAGGAACTATAATTGCTGTATTTATCTTTACAAGATTTCTCCCCGTCTAAAAGAAAATCAAAGCCCTAACCCTAATTCTTTGTATATTTTGGGCTGGTTCAAATGCTATAACCAAATCGGGCTAAGCCTGAAACTTTCTTCTTCTTCATCTTTTTTTTTTTTTGTAATTTTCTAGTGTCTACTAGAGTGGAATAAAACCTTTTTTTTTTCTTTTTAATACCAGAATATCAAAACCAAGAAGTCCCATTTTTGCATGCTAATTCTTCATAAAATTACCCAGATTAAAAATAAGGCTCATAGTATCTTAATAAGACACAAAACATGAAAAATAATAAAAATAATAATTCTAAAAAAAAAACTTAAATGCGTCGCAGTAGAAGAAATAATTGTTGCATTAAATTTTCACTTGAAAAGAATCATCCGATCATGTTATTGTTGTGCCGCCCGCCCCTTGAAGTCTAAAACAAACCTCAGCCATTACAAAAAATAAATTTTGGTTTAAAACCACATCTTCTCATAATTTAAAATATTATGATTATTAAAAATATTTATTTTAATTATTATATATAAAGAAAAGGGTATTTTAACAAAGACCCTGATTATAACTATTTATCAAAACAACTAAATTATTGAGATTAGTTTAACTATTTATATAAATAATAAATCAAGTTAATATATTATTTCAAGTCTTAGTTAGCAAATTTGTCTTGGAATCCAAATTGTGTTACAAATATTTTAAATAAAAGTTGATTCTTCATAAAATGTGACAAACACAAGCTGAGCTACACTTCCTTTTTTCTTTTTTTTTTTAAAGAATAATGATCACCATAATTTTTGTCGATAATTTTATTTATTTATTTTTATTATTATATAATGTTTATTCATTCATTTTTATTATCATAAAATATACATAATATAGAACCATTATCTATTTTTATTATATAATTAAATTCAATCAGAATCATGACCTATTACCTAATTCAATCAAACCAGTTTCCATTGGTAACCAAACCACCAATGCACCAATCAAATTAATCATGCTACTGATACATTAATTATATTAATCATACTATTAATTATGTTACTAATACACTAAATTAATACACTAACATAATCAAACTATTTGCAAATATATCAAAGTAATATATATTTTTATTTTTTAAAATTTATTGGCAGCATATCAAAATGATGTGCGTGTGTGTATATATATATATATATATATAGTATTCATGCCAGAGACCAATTTAATTTGAAACCTGATAGCCACCATATGTTGACCTACGAGGAATTAACTAGTAATCCACCTAAAAAAACTTAACACCAATTTTCCATTTAAAAAAAAAACAGGAGCTGACATGCAAATTCACTCCAAGCATGAAAACAAGGCTGGAACATGTATTCCAAAGACAAGTACAAAAGTAATCTACGGGGTCAAAAATATAATATCTCCTTAAGTTTAAAAATTCGCCTAAACCTCTAATTGATAGATAGGAAAGAGATTGAAAGATCAACGGGACAAACTCTTAAACACGCTTTATAACATTAACCAAAATCACAAGCACTGAACATGGCAAGCTCATTCCTCATCTTCTTCATCTCCATCCCCACCAGCAGCCTTCTGGTTCTTTCGCTTCACTCTACCAGGGCGTCCACCACCAAAGGGGCTTGTGAGTGAGAAATCAATGTGCTTCTGCGAGTCAACTCTCACCATGAACGATGGAATATTGACCACCTGCCTCCCAACCCTGCAGGACCAAACAAGTATCAATCGAGAGGCAACACTTCAAAATATAGAATCTAAAAGAGTGAAATAACTACATTCGAGGTGAGACTTCTCAAGTTCTGAAATCACAAGATTTTACAGCCAAAAAGAGGAAAGAAAAGCACTCAAAGTTTAGACAAACAGGAAAAACAATCAATATCAGAGAGGCGAAACTTTAATTGCCAATGTATTACGTCTTTCATCCAGAATTTTAACTTGCATTGATTAACAGCTCAGTACGCATAAGAATTTATTGTGTATACCTAATGTGCCTCTGTTTGATGAGCACTCTGGCATGGTGGATGGACTTAGCCATGCCAGCCTTGAAAACAAGAGTCTGGAGGCGGCGCTCGAGAAAGTTTTCCACGGTGAGGGCCAACACATAATCGAGCTTGTTCTGGCTCTCTTCCAACAGCCCATACCTATTCATTCTCCTCAAAAGCGCCTCACCCTCAAAAATACGGCGTGAGTTCTTCTCATCAAGGGTGAGAAGCATTCTAGCAGCATTACGAATCCGACTCAGTGCATACTGAACCCTCCAGAGTTCCCTCTTGGCACGGAGCCCATACTCTCCGACAAGCTTCAGCTCAGCATCCAAACGTTCCTTCTCATAGGGACGTCGTGGTTTCTTAAAAGTCTTCCCATCTATACACAAAGAAGAGATAGATTCTTCACAGATTAGTTATATAAAAGATCTTAAAACTCCATGGGCACAATAAAAACTCACAAATACTGGCACTTTCTTCTTAATCTCCACTCACCTCTACTGTTCGAAGCATTCCAATCAAAATCAACACGAGGCCTACTACTGCTAAATCTCCAAATTCTAAATAAAAGTATAATGAATCCCTTTTCTATTATTTTTCTCAATAATTTACAAAAATAAATAGAAAGTAAATGACCAAGATCTAAACATCTAGAGCTAAATTGTAAGTCAGGAGTAGTTAACTAAGAAGCAAAAAATAAAAAGAAATGAAGGGTTTAACAGATCAGTATAGGAGTCAGGAGAAAAGGAAGTAGGTAGCTTACAGTTGCGGTAGAAAGAGACGTGCACCATGCTTGCTTGTTCAGAGCCCCTGCCCCCTTCCTAAGATCTCAGTTACAGCGTTGCAGAGGCAATGGAAAACGGCGAAAACGACATTCGTATATTTTGGAAGTTAAATGGCTAACCCTAGCACTAGCTTTTAAATATTTGGGGCTGTTCATGTTTTACAAGCCCGAACAATATTGGGCCAACCCTGGACTGGTACATCTATTAAGAGTTGGGCTAGCTGAAAACGACGGTGGAATTGAATACTTTAATTTAGTAACTACAAGTGACGCCCATTTTGAGAAACAAACGAATTAATGAGCACAATTTGAATATCTATGCAAATCTTACTTCCGCAGCTTGAGATCACCTGTCAAAAAAATTTCCTTTCTTTTTGGGGTAGACAATTTCTTCACCTGTCCCTCAATGTTTATATTTAGTTAATTTTAGTCCTATTATTATGATCATTCATCCATTACTTTTGAGAAATTTTTTAACTAAAGCCAGTGCGATTGCTAAAAAAAATATTTATTTTTTGCCTGAAAAACTGTTATTTTTTTTCCAGCCTTGAATAAACATAGGTTTAACTGATGAGATTATCATGGTAAGTAATGGGATTAAAATTAAGATTATATAAAAATTGAGGGACCGAGTAGGGAGTTTGAGTGGGGATAGAGAAAAGAAAGAAAAAAGGAATGAAAGAAGGAATTTTTACTAACATGATCTTATTGGATATAACCAAGTTAATAATTTAAATATCAAGGTTTTTATTTTATTTAAAAAAACACTTTAATTCCCTGGATTTTTTTTAACATTAAAAAAAATAAAAATAAATTAGTACCCAATATAACGCAAGTCACGGATATATAGTAAGAGTCTAATTTAGTTGTGCTTACAAGATCATTAGTTACATGTTCTGTAGCAGCCGCGTCAGGGGACCAATGTGGAAGAAGGATCAACACTGAGCAGTTCAATTTAACAAATCAAGATAGTTTCACCTTATTTTTTTTTAAATATGTAAACCATGTTTTGAACCAAAATAGATTCCAAACTTTTGAGTTACAGAGTTGCTTAAATTTAGTATTTTTTTTAGAATTTATCTTTTGTTTAATTGTACAACATTAAAAATATACATCAATGAGAGAGCACCAGAATAAAAACAAAGATAAAACAAAAAAAATATTTTATTAAATTTAAATTCAAAATGAAAAATATTCAAAAGCTAAAAACAAGTCATATACTTGGGTCTGAGCGGGCCTCAACACTTAGCCCATAAAATGAAAATGCCACTCTTATGCCACAAGCTTGACATTTTCCATCCTTTTTTCTTGAAATAAAAACTACCTGAGCGGACCTGAACACTTTCTTTCTCCTCTGCAGCAACTCTCTTCCTACAACTAAAAAATAAACAAAATAAAATTGGATCAAAATAAAATTACAAAAATAAAAAAGAGCAAGATGACAATCAAAACAAAAGGGGGGGAAAAAGCCCAAAAGCCACGATCTCAATACAAAAAAGACAAATCTCTCTGTTTTTTCCCTCCAAAATTAAGCATTATCATGGTATTCTAAGAACCTCGGAGCAAGCTAAGCAAATCAATTTATTCCCGTCAATTCTGAAATAACACAATGCGCAATGATAAAATGAAACCGCTTATACATAGTTTTGATGATGATCGATTACAACCTGATGATAGAATTTCTGCACATTTTATAAACATATATTCCAAAGATGATAAAAAATCAACAGGAAAAAATCTTAAACAAGGCTGTCAAAATTATCAAATGAATATATATTCCAAGACAATGACAGAGGTAATCTACGGTGCCAAGATAGAATATAACAACTCCCTAAGTTTAAAATTTCGCCTAAGCCTCTAATTGATGGATAGGAAAGAGATTGAAAGATCAACAATACAAACTCTTGTCCAAATTTATAACATTAAATGAAAATCACTATCACTGACCATTACAGCTCATTCTTCATCCTCTTCATCTCCATCTCCACCGGCCGCCTTCTTGGAAGCAGCCTTCTGGTTCTTTCGCTTCACTCTACCAGGGCGTCCACCACCAAAGGGGCTTGTGAGTGAGAAATCAATGTGCTTCTGTGAGTCAACTCTCACCATGAAGGATGGAATATTGACCACCTGCCTCCCAACCCTGCAGGGCCAGAATAGATATCAATAACGAAGCAAAGCTTTAAAATCCAGAATCCAACAGTAGCAAGACAAAAGACAATATGAAAAGCTATGATCAGGTAAAAAATGTTATAACTACATTCAAAATAACAAGCAAAAAGAAAATAAAAAGATACTATGAAAAGAAGTAATCTGTTAACAGGATGATTTCTGATCATATTTTTAGTAGAGGATCCCAGTCATAAACACGAGAAAGAGAGTAAAAAAGACAGCAGACCTCAAGCTCTGAAATCACATGACCTTAACATGGATACTAATTCTGATTAAAGGGCAGTCAAGACATTTTATAATAAAGTAAATCAAAACATTGGGAAAACAGGGGGAATCGGGAAAATCAGAAAGCGCAATTTCAACACTAACACACACGTGTTGCAAATGCATTGCACAGTTCAGATAAAATTTATCAAATTCATGAATAGCATTTTAACTTGCATAGGTTATATGCCTGCATAACATGAAAACATAAGAGAAAGATCCGATTATATACCTAATGTGCCTCTGTTTGATGAGCACTCTGGCATGGTGGATGGACTTGGCCATACCAGCCTTGAAAACAAGAGTCTGGAGGCGGCGCTCAAGAAAGTTTTCCACCGTAAGGGCCAACACATAATCAAGCTTGTTCTGGCTCTCCTCCAAAAGCCCATACCTATTCATCCTCCTTAAAAGCGCTTCACCCTCAAAAATACGGCGTGGGTTCTTCTCATCAAGGGTGAGAAGCATTCTAGCAGCATTTCGAATTCGACTCAGTGCATACTGAACCCTCCAGAGTTCCCTCTTGGCACGGAGCCCATACTCTCCAACAAGCTTCAGCTCAGCATCCAAACGTTCCTTCTCATAAGGACGTCTGGGTTTCTTAAAAGTTTTCCCATCTATACAAAAAAAGAAAATTCTTCACCGATTAGTTATATAAAAGATTTTACAACTTAATGGGCACAATGAAAACTCACAAATTCTGGCACATTTTTATCTGTACTCACTTTTACTGTTCAACATGAACGTGCAGGTCAAGGTGCTACTACTGCTAAATCTCCAAATTCCAAATAAAATATCATGGATCCCTTTTCAATTATTCTCTCGATATTTTTTTTTTAAAAAAACATAAAATAAATTACAAAAACTAAATATCTAGAGCTAAATTGCAAATCAAAAGGGGGTAACTGTTTTTGACACTGAAAAGAAAAAAAGACAAAAAATGAAAGATGAAGCATAGAGGGGTGGGTAGCTTACAGTTTCGGTAAAAGGAGACGTGCACCATGCTTGCTTGTTCAGTGCCACCTGCCTGTGATCTCAGTTATCAGGGTTCCAGAGGCGATGGAAGATATGAAGAGAGGCAAAGCGGTGTTTATATATTTGGGATTTAAATGTAAACCCTAACACTACCTTTAAATATTTGTGGAAATTTTCATGCTCTACGAGCCCGTACAATATTGGGCCAACACTCCACTCATTCTGAGCTGGGCTAGAAAACCTGAACAACAAACCCAAAAGCCTAGTACTTCTGAAACAATGAATTTGAAACCCGAACCATGACCCGTTGTTTTTTTTGTTTTTTTATTCTGCTGAGCTGGCATAGGTTGTGTGGTGGTAGCCCTCTGGTTATTGTCACACCCACCTCCTCTATTATTCTAATTTGCTAGAAAATTTCTATTAACATTCCCAGCAGCTTGCGACTTCTCTATTGTCAAGGCACTTTTATAAGCCTTAGAAACGGTCCCTAAAGAATGAAGGCACAATACTCTTGTATAGCCAGTCTCATACTACTAAGAAAGTTTTTAGGAATACAACGCAAATTGCATTTTTTTTTAAATTTAATCTTTTTTCTTGTTTAAAATATATATTTTTATATTTTTGAATTATTTTAATATACTGATATTAAAAATAATTTTTTAAAAATAAAAAAACTTTATTTTACAACATTTTTAAATAAAAAATACGCCATTGTTATCATAATCTCAAACATATCTTACATTACTTTTAACTATTATTTTTGTTTCTACCATGTCATTTCATTTTGAATTGCTAACTAGTAGAAATTATCAATACAATTATTTACAAACTTATGCATTGATTTAGCGTCTAAAGCCTCTAGTATAGAGTTTTAGAATAATCAAAATAAAGGAAGTACTACCTCGTTTTCTTCTTCATCTTATCCCAATTGCTATTTTTTTTTTCTTTTTATCTTCCTTACCTCTCCCATGTTATCTTCAACTATTCTCAATAGAAAGATACTCGACCTTTTAATTTGTTTGTAATTAATTTAACTTATATATGTTTAGGAACCTCTTTATATTAAAATATTCTCTCCACTTCATTTAACCAATCTATGAACTCTTCTGCTTGTAAAGTCCTAGCAAACTTAAGGATTTAGATGTGAAACCTAAAATCTCCAAATCTGACCTCTTTCTTATCATAAAGATTGCCTTATTTGATTGTGCCCTTTGGTTTCAATACTTGTCAAGGATCAATAGTCACTCTCCTTGGTTTATTCCCGCTGCCTTTTCTCTTCTAGCCAATGAGTAAATTATGTGATTTATCTCTACATGTCCTCTATGGTGAACTCTGGAACGTTTCTCTTCTCAAAGGAAGCCTCTTCATCCTCCCCTTGAACATACCCTTCTCCACCATCTCTTCCTACTATGGTTGTTAGTGGAGCATAACAAGCAAACAATTATCCATAAAACTACAATACATATCAAGCAATATAAAACCTGAGATTGTCGGGTTCTAACACTAACTAATGTTGGCAAAAGCTAAGTAGAATAGTGAGAACACTAAAGAATTGCAAGAATAGACACAAAAGGCTTAATGAGCGAAGATGGATACAAATGTGAACCTTGAATTCACAATTTTATTCCCTGAAAAATAAAATATATATTGATTGTCTTTTTAAAAGGTTTACAAGATCTTTAAATAGGTTAGAAAAAACTGACATTCTTTAGAAAACAAACTAAAGTTTAAAAATATTAAGCGAAAAAAAACAAAATTGTTATAAAAAAAAGAAATTTAAATAAACCTAGGAAAATAGCAAAACTAGCCTAAACAGGCGAACCTGAAAACTTGATTCTAGAAGATCCAATGGTATGGATAGGAGCACAATGTTTTTTATATGAAAACTGCCTCTAGAATCATTTAGAAAAGTTTGAGCTTGATTTAACAGTTAAATCGTGTGATATTTCAGTCGTAAGATGCTAACTTAACCTGGTGTGATCAAGCCTTTTCAGTGCATGGATTTGTCCCATTGGTCCATAAAAGCACGTGTTATTATGTTAGATAATTTATATAGTCTGTTTGAATCAAATCCTCATTTAATAATGTTAGATTGTCACCCAAATGCTTAGAGCCACCCGTGTTTGTAAGCTCTACTGCATCAAATTTTTTAACGATGCTTTTAGAAAAATAATTGATGACAATTCATTCATTTTCAATAAATTACTTACATGATTTGGACCTATGAATTCCTTTCTAATTATTAATAAGGAATAAGCAACTGTATTGATTCATCTAACGCAGTTGTCAATTAAAAAATGAACATGTATGTTGGCAATTGTTTGTGATTCACGTTCTTTATTGCATATTTGATATCTAAGAGTCTAATTGTGAGTTTTAAATTCAATACTATTTTCTTACCTGTTTTTCAGACAATGGAGAGATTAAGACCTCAAGGCACTGGTATATTTAAGAAGAACCCTGCTGATTAGATGCAGATCTTCAAGCTATGAGAGTTTTGAGTCTTCCTTTGCTGATTGACACGTAAAATTCAGCACTAATATTCTGGTGCTTGACCACTGTCATGTAACTTCTGAAGACTTCTTTCCTTATTATGAATTCTTTATTAGATCCGTCTTTTCCGAAAGCAGATCACTGAAGTTGGATGACCGCTTTTTAGTTCATTGGACACTTGCTTCTGTGATGTGGTTCTTTAAGATGGTGTTTTACAATTTCTCTATATTGTAAAACAAATGGTTTCAGGTCTGATCATATCTAATTCTCTATATTTAACAAGAATCATCTTCACTGTCTGTTGGTTAATTAGTTTAGCACACGAGACAGTAGTGAATTCCACCTGAAATCAAGAATAGGCTGTTCGAACAGCGCACTTGAGCAACCATGGTCCAAATGTTTTGCAGGGCGAGCAATCAAAAGTGAGTGACGTTGTTCTTGGGAAGGAAAAGCCTGGTTAAGCATCAAATCCTGAATGTCAAGAGCTGAAACATTAAATCTTTGTGCTTGAAAACCACTTGGCTGAAGCTTAGAAGTATGCATATCGTCTCGTGGAGCGACATGGAGGTACGTAATGGCGGTTTATGTTGGTGTTACATGTTACCCATGATAAGTCTCTTTCATGTTATCACTTCTTTTTGACACATTATGATGCAATCAGTTCTTGTAATATTGAGGCAATCTCTATCACATTTTGGAAGGAAGCAAATCTTCTTGGAGCTTGTGAAGAAGATGCCTTAGGAAAGGCATTTTCCGAGCTTGGGACTAAATCAGAGGCATTGTCATTTACGCTGCAGGAGGAGGCAAGGCTTTAAATCAATTCGTGTCTTCCGCTTCCAGATCCAGCAATTTGTTTTACGAACGCTGTGCGCGCGTCTCTGCATATCAAGGGGAGTTTGAAGAACCATTGAAAAGAGAGATCATGTTCGTGATGTTCAATCTATCAAGGGGAGTTTGGCTCGCCCCTATCCTCCCACCTTTTTCCTATATTTTCACCCGTCTTTTTTAAGTATGTGCGCTCTACATTTGTCGATATCTATTGTGGAAAACCTTGATAATTTCTCAGTTTGAATGATTCAAAACCTATAATAAATTTTTATTTTTGTATCGTTAGTCTAAAAAACACCCTTACCAACCCAGATAGCCTAGCGTAGAACTACCATTGGCTAATTGTTGCTAATTTTCAAAGGAAAAAACATGTAATTGTTGCTAGTATTAGTCTTTTGCTGTTGTAACCTGTGACTTATTAAAGCCGTTGAAGAAAAAACCACAGAAAGATACAAGGCTAACAAATCAGTTTAGAGAGGGCTAGTGGGCCGTTCCCTACCTCAAAACATCACAAGACTCCTTGTATCGTATCGTGTCCCCTTATCCAATTCCCTTCCCTCCATTATCCCAACTTCTTTTCAATCTCCATTCTGTTAATTTATCTCACCTCTTCATTAACTACTAATGGCCTCTGCAATAACACCATTAATTCTCTTCCCTACTTGTGCCACTTCCCATCTGCAACTACTCTCCTCCCCATCTCCTCCACCTTTCCTTCCTCTAACGTCTCTTGCTTCTGCTGCCTGCAAACCCCGTTTCTCTAGGCTGCCCGAACTTCACAGCCACCGGAATATATTACCCGTCCCTAAATCCAACCCTGAAAATGACGGCATCGTAGCTGCTGATAACGACGGAGAAGATGGTGTGTCTTTGGGGACCTTGAAATTACCTGGCAATACTGATCTTCAGAGATTTGAGACCTTGCTTTTCCAGGTTAATTAAATATACATTACTCTTTACTTTAGCCCACTTCACCTTAGCTATTTTCGTAAATCTGGTTAGCGAATAAAACTATAAAAGAAGATGAAATTTAATGGTGTGAAATGGTGGTTGAATTTTATGTATTTTATTGAGTAATAAATGTGTTTTTTTCTTCTTATGATTCCCTCTCTGTTTGAAATGCCAGTGGGCTAACAGTCTTTGCCAAGGAGCGAATCTGCCGCTTCCTGTGCCATTAAAGGTAGGTGGTTATTAGTTTTTTACTTCATTTCTTCATTTCTAAGATACAAGTTGACATATGCACCAGCACATTTGGATTTCTAGAAGGGCGAGAATGAACAGGTTAGAGATCAGCAATGGAATTAAGATCGGAGGTCTATATATTTGCCATTGCTTTTTCCAACCAATTTCAACTTATATATAGTGCATAGGGCCTGGCTTTGGCAGATTATGAAATTTATTGTTAACTGACAACTAGGAATGTTCTTTGTTTTGTTTGGATAAAAGACAATTCGATTGTGCTGAACTTGCATACCGCATGTATCCATTGGACAGATCTACGCGGGGAAAGTTTTTAGAATTTCTCCTTACCCGCCTAGACGACTCACGAAGTGACCTTATTCCTAACAACCTTGGCCAGCATCCCACGTGAAGATAATCTTGCTGTCTAGATTATACTACTATAATCAAGCTCACTGGATTAGGATGATGTAAATGTTTTCATTTCATTGTCTTGCTCCTAATCTTGGCATTCGTGTGGGATATAATTTGCTTTTACAAGGTTCTTTAGTCACCAGTACAGTACTTAGATAAAGAATATGAAGATCAAGAAAATGTTTCTCTTAATAGCTTAACG